GTGACAATAATCAGACAGTTTCGTATCGTCCTTAACAGGTCAACAGAACAATACGGTGAATATGGTTTGTATTCATAGAGGGACTTTCATGCTTACTTTATTTAGTTTCTGTAAGGCATCGCAGAATTGGGAAAATTCACCGATGTGTTAAATATCATTCTTATGTCAATCGACTGTCTGATAATTCACAGGAGAGAATTTGGAATGGTTATTCGTTGATTTTTATGAAATCTGACACGAAAGTGGAACAATGAAGATGTGGAAATAATTCTATAAATAATTTACGATTAATTAATTGGGAGATGATATCGAACGTGAGGTGCTAAATTGCATCGTTTATTGGAAGGTTGACGATCCGTTAAACAAGAAATCCGGACGTATTTAATATTCGATAACTAGAATGGATATGCGATACAATTGAACACACGATTACCGCAGGATCTGGAATATCAGTTTATTTGTTTGTTGTTCTGTGTAATATCTCGGAAATCTTTCAATATAAAATTATTCAATTCAGCAGCTAATATGTGAACGGTAGACTAGATATACAGGGTGTCACGTTTAATTGGACCCACTCGAATATCTTCAAAACTATTGACGATATTAAAAAATGGTTCAGAAAAAAGTTAACTGGTATCAGGTGATACATTTTCTGTCGTGAGTAAATTTTTTTTATATCGACACGTAGAGGTCATACGGAGGTCATCTTTGTTTCTTTAAATGGAATCGTATATCTTTTAATGCACTAATTCGTCATAAGTGACGTAGTACTTTATGTAGGGAATAACGAGTAGCATGAAGTAGTGCATTAAAAATAATACGATTCCGTTTAAAAAAACAAAGTTGACCTTCATATGACTTCTACACGTCCGCATAGAAAAAAAGTTACTCACATCAGAAAGTGTGATCGCTGATACTATTTAATTTTTGTTTGAAACATTTTTTAATATTGTCAATAGTTTCAGAGATATTCGAGTGGGTCGATTTAAATAGGACACCTTGTATACAGGGTGGTTGGTAACTGATGGTACAACCGGAAAGAAGGTGATTCCATATAAAAAAAAATAATTCGACAATGTAGAATAAAATTTTTTCATCCGATGCTTACCTAGTTATCGAGAAAATCTAATTTGAAGATTTATTTACAACACGATGATATTTGAGGTGACCAAAGTTATTGCCCCATCTTGTATAAACATTTATCATATGTAGCCTTCAATTGTAACAAAAAAGAAACTTTAATTTGACTTGCTGAAGTTTTATTAAACTACATACAAACTTTGAACGGTAGTGTATATTTGTCCATTATTAGTTATGTCTATCAATTTTAATGTTTATAAATTTCAACAGTGCCATGATATTTGATACAATAATTTAATGTCAACTGATAACGTGGTGAGCGTAAAATTCGTTGGAAACAGGTAATAACAGAGATACCATCGTCTGTATGCATTATAAGTAGAAACAGTGTAGCGATGGTCAGACATACTAACCAACTGTACTGGAGAGAGCATTCGTACCAGATGAATTTTTAAAATCAATTATTTGGGAAAGTAAGCGTGACACGAAAAAGTGGTTTTCTAGATTTTTTACTCATTTTTACATCTGCAATACACCCCGTGCAATTTAGTTCTTGTGACTTTGACTGAACTTTTATTTCATTCCATGAAAATTTGTGCTTTTATCATTTTTAATAAAATAGAAAAACAATTATTGTTTTTTTAACTTGACATCTATAGTGTAAACTAAGTATAAGTGTAGAGCAAGACACCTCTGAGTTTTTCTTTAGTAAGTAACAAATTTACTAAGTAACTTAATTTGGTCACTCGATTTAGTAAGTTACTTTAATAAGTTACTTTAATAAGATACCTTAACTTTAGTAGCATATTTAAGTTCAGTCAGTAAGTTTAGTAAATAACCTTAGTGAATATTTTTAGCGAGTAACTTTAGTAAGTAATTTTAGTGAATAACTTTAGTGAGTAACTTCAGTGAGTAATTTTACTAAGTAACTTCAAGAAGTAACTTATTTTAGTAATTTAGTAAGTAACTTACTTTAGTAACTCAGTAAGTAACTGAGTGTAGCAATATGTTTTACTATCTTAATAAGTGATTTACTTTAGTAAGTAACTTACTCAGTGTTTTAGTTTAGTATTTTTAGTCGATTCCCATTGAACGATCATAAAAAGTCTGAATAGAACTGGAAGTGGAATATCGAAAATTTACATTATGGTATTTTTTTACTAACTTCTACCCTAGTCAGCTATTTTTAACATTAATTCAAGGGAGAAGCCAGTGACCTTCCGTTTGAATGGCAAGTTGCGAGTAGGCTCAGCCATGTCCAAGTAGGACGAGTAAATGTACTTAGGTAAATGCTGCATTTACTCTTCGCAGTTCACGTTTCTTCGGCCCTGTTTATCTTCCTCCCCAATTTTCGGATTCTGTGTTTAATAATTCTTTAGATAAATTTTACGGTCACGCTTCAGTTCCCAAAACAACCTTCGAAAAATGTTAACATCCTCTTTACGACTACGACTTCTCTGAAGTTTTCATGTTTTTTGTTTTTTCAATACATATTTGTAATTGCGCGAGATAATGCAAACTATAAAGAAAAAAGTATTCAAATCAGTATTATCTATTCCTCTACAATAGTGCGTAATTTGTAAATAAATGAAGTTACTTGTGTTTTTTAGGAATAAAACGTTAATTATAAGGTATACAGGGTGGTTCATTTAAAAAGGCCACCTAAATATCGTCCAATTGTGATGGTTCAAAAGCTATTTTATATGCAATTCCTGGTATCAAAGGAGTAGTATATGTACTGCTAGAATATTCTTTTTCAAGGTTATTTAACTCGGAGTTTTCAAGATCATCGATATTTTTTTTTGTACATAATTAGATATTTTTCTCTATGGTATCGTATAACAAATGTTAAAATACGTTCAGATATGTACAATGACATGACCTTGAAATGACCTTTGACAACGAAAATTAAAATTAAACGTGCAATTTATGTGTATCGAAATTTCTCGAATTTTTTTCCAATAAAACATATTACCATATTGTGCAACACGTTAGAGAAATGTTAGTATGTAGGAATAAGGTTTTTAGTGAAAAAGAAGACTGCTGCTCCAACATTATAATATACCTGGCAGCACAATTGATGCTCATCCATTTAAATTTTCGCATTTTTAACGATCAATTTCACAAAAACTAGGGTGCTGCTTTCTTCTTGCAGAGACTGTTCCAGGTAACCTCCATACACCCCAGAAAAAGTTGATCAAAATAACTTTGCATACACTTTGTAGGTTTACGTCGTTAGACCACGCTTAACCCTTTAACAATATTTGACGAGTATACTCGTCATGAGGAAATCACCATGTTTCGGTAATGACGAGTACACTCGTCATGAGGAAATCACCATTTTTCGGAAATGACGAGTATACTCGTCATAAGGAAATACTGTTTTGGAAATGGCAAGTATACTCGTCATGAGGAAATCACCATTTTTCGGAAACGACGAGTATACTCGTCACGAGGAAATCATTATTTTTCGGAAATGACGAGTATACTCGTCATGAGATCACTGTTTTGGAAATGGCAAGTATACTCGTCATGAGGAAATCACCATTTTTCGGAAATGACGAGTATACTCGTCATGAGGAAATCACCATTTTTCGGTAATGACGAGTATACTCGTCATGCGAAAAAATAAACAATCGTTTGCTATACAAATTAGAATTTTAGTTAAAGTTTGAAAAATATATTTCTTTTACTAGAATACAGGAATCAAATTAATTATGTACGCAGATACGAATTTCCAAAACAAAATTCCACCGTTAAAGGGTTAACTCAAGCAATAGAAAATCAACGACTTATCGAACACTGCACAAGGGGTAATTGTGGTGCTCAAGCCTTTTTTTTTATTTAAGAAGAAACCTGACACGAGTCCCGTTAGTAAATACGGAAAACTTGGTGCTCCCCTTTCGAAACGAATCGCTGGCCGATCGATACGATTTAAAGCGATCAAGTTTAATCATTCGGAATAACCGACGCACGGTATAGTTGTATAAATTGCTCCTGGATGGAAGGCGCACTCGTCCATCGAAGATTAGACATAAGGGGTTGTATACAGAGTGACGCACCTAACTTTACCACTTAAATTACATGTGAACTGTTTGTTACATGAAAAAATCTTTCAAACAAAAGTTGTAAGGTATCACGAGGAGCACATAATGTAATAATTTGGTTTTTGCAATTTCTATTTTTTATAGAGATATGAAGGCCACTTTGAGTTTCTTTTTCATCGTAATGTGTAAAATTTAATCGTGCATGCAGTGTTTAACTGCGAGTAAAAAGTTCTTGGGTATATGGGTCCAAAAACTAATAATTACTGAGATATTCTTCAGCGAACTATGATAAAGTTTCGTGAATGTAAAATCCGTACACTAACAACCGGTCACCCAACTTGACGCCACTTGACTACTTTCTTTGGGGACATCTGAAAAACGAAGTTCATCGTGCCTTACCAATGACATCCGAAGATATGAAAAATCGTATCATTAAAAATTGTCATTGTCATTCAAGAAACACTTTAACATGTATCATTTGCACTTATTGAACAACTACGCCACTTGTATTGATTCACTGATTGTAATGGACAACATTTTGAGCATTACTTACATTAAAAATCATTTAAAGAATAACTCGGTAATTATTGGTTTTTGGACCCATGTACCTTAACAGTTTTTTATTCAGCTTTCAACAATCTTGCCAACTGCAGGGTTAAATTTTATATATTACAATAAAAAAAACTCCAGTTGACCTTCATATCTCGATAAAAAAACAGAATAGCAAAAAACTAATTAGAACACTGTGTACTCCTTTTGATACCTCATAACTTTTGTTTGAAAAATTTGTTCATATAACAAACAGTTTACAAGTAATTTAGATGATAACGTTAGGTGAATCACCCTGTAGAAATAAATTTTCAAAAAACTTACCTTAAAGTCGATGTAACCGTTTTTGTCCATGTCGAATGTACGGAAGACATGGTCGCAGAATTCCTCCGCGTTGCCAGACGGAAAGAACATTTTGTACATGTCGACGAATTTCGCTGGTGTTAACCGACCGTTCGGGCAGTCTTGCTGTAACATTAACAAAACAAAATCTTTCTGTAATTTTCGATCATTAATTCCTTCTGTTTATTTTCTTGCGTTCGTTTGTTCTAATAACGCATTTTGTGTTGGTTTTAAGTACAGTACACGCTCATTGTCCCTTGTTAATATATTCACCGCAATTTGCAGACAAAATTTGGAAAATTCGTATGTGCTTATGGTTTTTATACTTCGAACGTAACATTTTTTCTTAATAATTAACAATAGAAGTACTCTCGAGTAACATGTGCTTGGTTCCTAACGAATTGGTAAAAATGACAATTGTTTAAAAATATGTAAATTTATAAGTTAATTAATTTCCTTGGTCGTATATTGCAATCAAAGCTCTGAAAAATCTAAGAAAGTGTACTATTATATCAGATATATCAATAAGTGCAGTAAATCTTCGATTAATGCTCGAAATTCGAGACTTCTTTGGAACAGTTATCGTAGAGGGACATTACATGTATTGATGAATTCAGTATTTATTTTCTTGGAAATCAAGAGCTAATGCAGTTTCAACTGTGTCTGTCCTCGTTCTTAAATAATCATCGTAATTATTAAAGAAGAAAAAGACAGAAAAATATTTCGAATTTAAACTAAATTACGAGTTTCTTAAAAAGAAATACGGGATACTTATTAGTACATTTAATAACATTTATGAATACGTCATTCTGACTGCTTTGGTAGTTCTGGTGCTACTAAAAAGCAGCATAAAAACTTTCTGATAACAAGGATTTCAGTTTTGTGTGCGTATACAATTCTATATACATATTTTAAACATGACGGGGCAAATGAACACAATTATACTATGAATGATGATTATGATCAGACTCATTTTAGTATTTTGTTTTTTTTTTTATTTAAATTTTAGTCTTTTCATAATATCTATCCAATCCACCACGGATTATGGGAACTATTCCAATGGGAGATTCAGGAAACGAAAGTAACAAAAATATTCATGTACACATCTATCGGACACAACCTTGTTCCCGAGTTACAGCCTGATTTGTGTTTTTCCATTCTGCTCCTTTATCTTCCCTCAGGGGCAACTCTAAAGTGTACTACTGAAGTTGCTTAACACGGGGGTACTTGAGTTGTTCCACCTGTACTAAAGACTGCAAGATAACATGACTGGAGATGGCTGTACGTTCCCACGAAGGAAACACCTTCCCCTAAATCGTTACTCGATGATAACTAGACAGAGTTAGGATTTTATGCATGCAAAGCGTAAATAAGCATGTGAAAGGCGATAGAACACAAAACTTCCATTAGGTTTAATATGTTTTTTATTACATTCTTAACGTTATAAACTCTCCAAGAGAAAGAAAATGTTTCTATTTTTAATTCTGTCTTTGTACATTACTTCAGAAAATATTATTTTGCATAAAGATCGTTAGATAGTTAGACCGCAAATTTGATGCTGATATTTGCATTTATACCATTTGTTATATTGTAGCTCTATGTATACATTTTTTATTTTTCTTTCTTCCCTTTTCGTTTTTAAATATTTGGTCTGTGGTGTAATAAGGACCCTGATAATAATAATAAAACAGTCACATATAATAATAGTAATAATAATAAAACAAAGTTTTAACAATATAAAAGTCTAAATCCCTAAAATCAAACAACTCCCAGGGTTACAAAATTAACTATTGTTAATTTTCTTGATCTCTGTTTAAGTAAATGAAGATTAGTATCAGAAAGTAATTATTGTGTTATCCTAACACTTATGCCTCCCTATTAGTTTAGACACAGAAGGCTCTTCTGTACTACCCCTAAAATACTAAATCCCTAAAATTAAACAACTCCCAGGATTACAAAATTAACTATAGTCAATTTTCTTCATCTCTACTCAAGTAAATGAAGTTTAGTACTAGATAAGCGATTCTTCTATTATCCGAACACTTCCTCTTAGGTCGAATAAGAAAGGTCTCACTGTACTCAGAGCACCCTGGATAGCCTAGCCCCCTAACTGAGCCCAGTCCGTAATGGGAGCTCTTCCGTGTGTGTCCCCGGTGAATTTGCTAGCTCGCCGTATCGTTATCGTCGGCCATACCACGGATGGCCGAAGGTAATAGACAGTATGGGATACTCTCTGTCTACGATGCCGCCCACGCCCCAGGGAAGAAGGGATATTTGATTCCCTTCACCCTACTCAGCTAGTCTCTAAGAGGCTGAACCAACGGTAGTGGTAGCGGTAGCCCGTATCACGTGGGTAACGTGTGTTTGCACCTGCCGCGTGTGAGCTGCGGTTATCCGACTTGTGTACCATCCTGCGGAATCGCCAGAGAGCTTATGACGAAAAAAGAATTTGTACCAGTGAAGATAGAGGTTTGCAACTTGAGACTCTCGTAGGGCTAGAGTCGCCTAATGGCGTAAGAATCAGTTAAGTTATTCATGATCGGTAGACTGTGGAATTTTTATGCAAAATGACATTAGCTAAAGTAATTGATGAAGACCAGAGCAAACTATGTCACTCTTTTCTCAAATAATATCAGAGTCTTGTGGGTGTCAAGTAGACGAACCACGATAGCATAGGCAAAAAAGGAAGATTTTATTCGTTATTTGTGAGGGGAGGCGGCCTAAATATGGGCTAGCACTTTTTCTTCAGAACTTAAGTCCTCTTCTTTATCTATAGTGTTAAGTGCAGCAGCCTGATGGAAATTGTGTAAACTTATGTTAAATATAATTCTAATACGCTGGCGGAATAAACAAAAGATTTCATCAGTTTCAATATAAGTTAGGATAGTTTGTTGTTTGACACGTAGTTGCACGGTACTGATTTTAGTGATATGATCTTATTCTTTAGTTTTTATTCTATGTTCACTTACAAGGGAAGTTCGGTAACCCGAAGATTCCGATTTTTTTTAAACTTTGCAGGTTTGTAGGACCTTGAAGGTAGATAGGTGTTTCCATATTTCTCTGTATGTCTTTAAAACTATCGTAGATATAAAAAAAATGGTTATAATAAAAATTGAATGATTTTTTATACCTAGCTTGTATTTGGATTAGTTCCTCTATTTAAATAAAGATTTATTTGAATAACGTCCAGTGCTGATGTACAGTAACTAAAAGCTATTTTACGAAAAAGAAAAACGTGAAAACAACTTTCTGAACATTACGATCGAGTTATATCTATACCCCGTCTGATGCCACACCATTTTGCCATCTTTTACGCGACTCGAAAAATCCGTTCTCATGAGAATTTTCCAGGTTTCCCGGCGAAAACCTGCTCAAAGTGGTTTCTTATGTCGTCCAGGGAAGCGAGGATCGCGGCTTTAAGAGGATTTTCCAAAGGCTGGAATAAATGATAATCTGAAGGCGCAGTATCTGGCGAATGCACCCTGCGTGGAATATAACACATCCCGGTTAAGCTCTAACAATTTTTGTCAGGATGTAGGCGGAATAAGACGCTCTCCCTATTAGCTGCTGTTGTACACTGCGGTTCAAAAGTGATTCGACCATTAGTGAGCCAGGACTCTGAAAAGTACTAGCTTTAGCTAACAAAGTTTTCGAATTTTTTATTTATTTCCCCAAAATATTTATTTATTCGTCAGTATTGATATGGACCCCTTCAAAGTAGCCTCTATTGAATATAACATACTTGTGCCAGCGTTTTTTCCAATCCTCAAAACACTCCAGAAACGCACTTTTTGGTATAGCCTTTAGCTCATTTAGCGATGTTGCCTTTAGTCAATCTGTGGTCGTTTCTCTATACTTCACTAGTTGTTCGTGAATTTTTGTCAGGAAAACAATTCTGTAGTGATGCTTTAGTGTTTATTCCTGGCCCCAAAGATAAAGAGAACATATGAAAGGACAACGTTTTGCGACCACAGTCAAAGGATTCAAACTAGATAATAATTGAGGGGCTCAGCGAAAAAGGGACACATGCCAAAATACTATCAGCTTACACGATAGCTACTTTTAGGAAAACTGATTTTCTCAGGAAATTCGGTATTAACGTCATTTTGGTTAATAATTTGAGTAAATAATAAATGGCAATTATTATCAAATTTTGACTCGAATATTCATATTTCTATGACACGTTTTTTAACAATCCTAGAAGCAGGGTACTCGGGCAAACTTTTTTTTATAGAGACGTGTGATTATGCTTCTTTTATTCGATCCGATTTGGGATGTGAAGGAGGTACATTTCAATCTAGACCTGCCTGAAGGACTCACTCTCACTAGTAAGGCTATTTAGTGGAATTTGACTTTGACACTGAAGAGTTACGGAAGAGTAGAAGGGCAAGAATTCAGTGTTAAGGAATTTTAATATTCTCTTGTTTACGAAAGGTTTATGACATGGTGCCTGAAGGCCATGGAATGGACGCTAGATTGTTAGAGCTTGTTGTTGGTGCAAAAAACTAAAAATCGACATAGATGTGGCAATCATTTGTTAAAGGTTCTAATCATATTTGAATTCACTGGTCAACATGATTTTTGTCCCAAAGAACATGTATACTGATTCTTATAGATTTTTTTGTGCTGAATACGAATCCATAAACAGTTTTTTGCCATCACTCTCAGTTTCCGAGAAATTTGATTTAAAACAGAAAATGCAAATTTTTAACTTTGAAAATTTCCTGTGTTCAAACATTAGTAGTTATTCATTTTATTGTTGCGCCAAATTATTCTGTAAACTCTCCCGAATAAAATGGTATACGTTGTTATCGCATTATCAACATTTAAACATGTTTAAAGAATGATCAAAGGGAAAAGGACACCAGAAATGCACCAATTTTTACAGATATTTTTCAATTTATTTATTAATTATACGGCAAGCGCAGACGTTCGACTGTCGCTCGGCTGACGCTTCTGAGTACCACTGCCGATTTTACTAAACTATAATATTTCGCTTCTGTATTGAACACAAAACGTCTCTTACCATTTCTGTTAATGCTTTCCGGAAGAAAAATCTTTACTGTATCTGCTGACGCAGTCAGATTATGTCCTGCACCATTACTTTTTGAAATAAATTGAAAAAT